GCTTTAACGGCGGCGGCGAACGCGCCGGGACCCGTGACCTTGAGGTGGAACATGCTTAGAGGGCGGGGGGAGGAGAGCTGGGTCACGGGTGGAAGAGAGGGGGAAAAGGAAGGAGTCATTCTTATTCCAGGGAAAGGCGGGAGGAGGGAAGATGACCCCACCGTGAAGAACGGGCTCCCCCTCTTTCTCGATCGACTCGCCCAGGACGGCATCCGGGACGCGATACCTTGCCCCTGGTCTCCAGTGGGCGTGCGGCTGACGCACGGACGGCCGCCACACGGCTTCTGGGGCCTGTCTGCCTGGAAGGAAGGCTGGTTCGAGGTCCAGGACGAGGGCTCGCAGCTGGTCGCGCTGGCGACGCGGGTGAAGAGGGGGGAGGAAGTGCTGGACCTGTGTGCGGGCAACGGCGGGAAAACCTTGGCGATGGCGTCCTGGATTCTGAAGGACGGAAAAAAGGGAGGCAGTGAGGGGAGGCTGTGGGTGTATGATACGGAGCAGGCGCGGCTGAAACAATTGCTGGCGGGGGCAAGGAGGATGGGAGCGGAGAGGTTGGTCAGGGCAGTAGAGGATGAGGTGGCCTTGGAGGCATTGATGGGGAGGGAGGAAGACGGGCAGGGGAAAGGGAAGTGCGACGTGGTGCTTGTGGATGCGCCCTGCTCCTCAACGGGCGTGTTGCGGCGCCGACCTTCCCTCCGCTGGAACCTGAAGCCGGACGCCGCGCTCAACGCCCTCCCTGCCATCCAACGTCAGCTCCTGGTTCAGGCACAGCGATACGTGAAGGTGGGGGGAAGGCTCGTGTATGCGACGTGCTCCTTGCTCGAGGAGGAGAATGAGAAGGTGGCGGGTTGGTTTTTGGAGGAATTTGGTTCGGGAGCGAGGGAGGGAGGACGGGAGGGAGGGCGTTATCGACCCCTGCCTTGGGCCGAAGAAGAGGAACCTTTGCGAGCGGCGGCGGAAGCTTATGGAAAAAGGCAGGGACGGGCAAAAGGCATGGTAAAGGAGCTGGCGCCCGGCATGTTGCTTTTGATGCCCCATGTACACGGCACAGACGGCTTCTTTATTGCGAGATTTGAACGGTACCGTTGAAGGAGAGGAATTGGATGGGTGTACAGGGTTGTCCATCATGCACATAGACAAGATATTACTGTGAGAATGTAACTGAGGATATGTCGTGGAGTCTAATAAAATAAAAAAGTACGATCCATGCTTGCCGCGCTCATGATAAGCCTTGGGTTATCGATTTTTTCCACAATCTGTTGGAGGGCCCTCCGAGTGACCTGTATTTACCTTGCAACTTTATTTTATAACTGCTGATAATGGTAGCAATAACATTTTACTAAATCACTTGTTTTTGATTGGAAATACTTTGGCTTGACAAGACAGAAGAAATGCGGAGTTCAGAGCAAGCTTGCGGTTGAGAGTTCAGACTAGAAATCCACTTTTTAAACAAGGAGGAAAAACGGTTTTCCGTAGACTAGCAATAAGTAGAGCAAAATAAACCTTGTGATTTATATTGTTGTTCATTTGACGAATGTAAACGTCTTGCCCGACGTTTCCAGAACCCCGGTGCTCAAGTACTGCCCTTTGCTCAGGCCTGCCAGTCCTTACACTTGTAGGCCCGCGTGGTCAGGGATCCCAAAAATCCATTAAAAGGTCGAAAGCACATTTTTTCCATAAGCATGTCTTAGTATTGTACCTCTCCGCTCATAAAACACGATTGTTTTTCTGCTTCGCCTCGAACTTCCTGGGCGATTTGAGAAAAGAGAAAAGAAAGAACATTTTACGGGGGAAAAGCTTTTCCACCGGTATCATCGGATCAGCCGGAACGGCAATTACCAAGTGAGATTCCAAACCACGGAAGGGGTTGAAGAAAGTCGCCTCAAATTACACCCTCAACTGTGTGCGCATGTGACGAATGTCATTTTTATGCTGAGGCCGCCACCAGTTTTATAATATTTTCCCCCTATGAAATGAAAGGGAAGATCGAACGTCCATCCGACCTTCTCCAAGCGCATTGCTACGACTAGGTGCGATGGGCGGGGGACGGCCGAGGACGTGCTTGCTTGCCTACGGGCGTACTTTTTCTATCTTCACAACCATACAGGAAATTTAGAGCCTTACACATCACGGACAAAAAGATCGGTGTGATTAATTGACGTCCAGAACCATATAAGGGCACTCGAATCTTGTGAATTTTCAACCTCCTCCCGTTCTGTTCAATATCACAACATAATAGGTACACAATGCAGGAGAATGGTGGCCCTGGAAATGTGAATGATAGTGTGAATAATGAGGTTCCGGAGCGTGTTAACCATCCATCGGACTTGGCTGGGCACAAAAGCGAGTTGGGCCCTAGCCGTGAGGGCAATGGCGTTGAGCATAAGGCCGAACGACGGGATGACAAAGCTCTACAAAGAAGCCGAACTCTTCCCCACAGAATACTGTCTCGGCAGACTTCCAGCCAATCATTTATGGTGCGACAGCTGGAAAGTCTTCGCGCTCCGTCCTTGAGCCGCGTCGCCTTATCCGGTGCCCCCAGTGACATCCCGGACGTGGGACTGATGCTGCCTCACGTAGATTTGGACGTGAAAACCGAGGAGGCCAAGATGCTGTGTATTCCAGGAACGAGATGGCATATGCTTCTGGTGGTCCTTGCTTGCAGTATTGCGTTTGGACCCTCCTTTTCTCGCTCCATCTTGAGCGCAGTGAGTGCGGACGTGATGCTTGCCTTTGGCATGACGAAAGCCACCTACGGAGCTCTGTCAGGTCTACCGGCTATTCCCAACATCTTTGCCTCCCCCATTGGTGGTGCCATTGTCGACCGGTTGGGCGCGGATAAGAGTTGCGTCCTCTATTCGGGTATCACCGTCTTGGGCAGCATATGCCTGTCGACGGCCGTCTACATCCGTTCCGTCCATCTGCTCGCCGCCGCCCAGATCCTTCTCGGGATCGGGAGGGGTACGCTGGTCATTGCTCAGAAGGTGTTTCTCAAGCTGGCGGCGGACCCGAAGGAGACCTCCTTCCTCTTCGCCCTCTCCTTCTCCATCTCCCACGCTGGAATGTTCATGGCCTTCTTCCTCTCCCCCCTGATCGAGGACAACAGCCCCTATGGGTACCTGGCGAGCGTGTGGGCCAGCACAGGCATCACCGTGCTCTCCTTTCTCTGCACGATCCCCCTCCTGGGCAAGCTCAGACACATCCTCCCCTTGCTGAGGGCCGAGGAGCAGGAGTCTTTCTTGGCGGACGAGGAGGAGGAGGAGGAGGACGGGAAAGCGGGAGAAGCAGAGGAAGGGGGGGGCGGCCCGACGGCGTCCTCGAGGTGGGGCAGGCGAGAGGAAGGCTCGTGGGTGGAGCTGGTCGGCGCGGGCACCTTGCAACGGGTCATGAACGCGAGCAGAAGACAGGCGGGGGGCGCCTCCATGAGCGATCTGGCCAACCACCCGATCCCCTCCCCCTCCTGCTGGCAGACGGCCTATCAGTACTTCGAGGACCTGATCTCCATCCCCTTCTTCCTCCTGGTCCTCTGCATCGTCTGCTACTACATGGCCTTCGTCCCCCTGGAGACCTTCGCCGTCGACTACCTCAAGTCCGACCTGGGCTACAAGGCCTCCACTGCCTCGCTCGGGGCCTCCCTGGTCATGCTTGGCTCCGTCTTCCTCGGACCTTTTTTCGGCCTCCGCGTGGACATCGAGCTCTGGAAGAAGGGCGTGCCCGGGCAATGGACGCGCCGTTTGTGTCCGCCGGGGGCGACGCAGGCGTGGGCTATGTTCCTGACCGGGACGGGCATCCTCACCGTCACGCTCGCTCCCACCAAGTGGCCGTGGGGCTTCGCCTTGGTCAGCATCGGGTATGCCATGGCTTGCGCTGCACTCTGGTCGTCGGTGCCGGAGGTGGTGAAAGCCCGGTCCCTGGGGCTGGCCTTCGGGGTGATCCACGCCGTGATGGACGTCATGATCATGGTCACCGAGGTGGTGATAGGCCGGCTCTTGGATACCGGGCACACCTATGAATCCGCCGTGTGGCCCATGTTGGTCGGCTTCACGACGGCGGGTTTCCTCGCCACGCTCGCGCTGATGCATGTGTTGATGAAGCAAGTCAAATTGAACGCGGTCATTGCGGCTATGACGGATAACGAAAATTAGGACGAATAGCGCCTGGCCGTCTAGTTATGTCGCAAATTGGGGCCCAGACCTGTGCTAGCTTGCACACGTCCCAGGATTCGCCCTTTCTGAATGTAGTATGACATGCATGTGCAGTTAATTTCAAGGTGTCTTTTAGGGGTACCGAGGTCCTGAAAGCGTGGGGGTGGTATTTTAACCCTTTGTGGCGGATTTGAACGAGCAACACCGGGGTGCATGTAGATATGTTGACGGCTACAATCAGATGATATATTCATAAAATCATGATGTAGGTACTCGTCTACCGATTTTCCAGAACGCTCCAGTCGAGGACTATGTCATTGGTTTCGCGTATTTATTTTGACCTCGCCGACAACTGCACAATGACGAGTATATTTCCGGCTACCATTTAAGCAAGTAGATCACGTCGTAGTGCAAGGATGCTTTCTAGATAGCTACGTACGTTTTCCCCATGACAAAAGCAAGGCATCGCGGATAGACGTGAAAGAGATGGCGAGTCCTGCGTGGTGAAAGGTGGGAGCCCTCCTTACTGGGTCCTTGTTCCCCGTGGTGCATCTCACGGATGCTATTGGCTAAGCTTACATTGGTACTCAGTTACTACAGGCTGGCTGTCGTCGCAAAAATGCATACAGTTGGGTCGCAATGAGATCGGGTTTCCTCCTCCATCCTCTGAGCGCTACTGCCGCCACCACGGCCCCCTTCCTACTCAGCCCAAGAATCACGGCGACGTTTTCGACGCTGACACGTGCGAACTCGCTGCCGCGTATGGCTTCGTCCGCTTCTTATTCGATAGAGAATGACGGTGGCAACACTGCCCCCAATGTCGCGATTATTGGAGCGGGCATCGCGGGACTTACTTGCGCCCGTACGCTCCTAACCTCCTGCCCTACTGCTCGTGTCTCGCTCTTCGAAAAGAGTACCAGCCACGGTCGATGCGCCACACGGACCGTCCGTGGGATCGGCAACTTTGATCATGGGGCCCCGCATTTCTCAGCTTTTAGCCCTGCCTTTCGCGAGCAGGTCCAGACTTGGCGGGAAGCAGGCTTGGTAGTGCCCCTCTCACCTTTCACCTCGTCTTCCGACTCGACCTCGGCGGCGGCAACAGCCCGTTATGTTGTGCACCCCAGCATGCGCACTCTTCCTACGCATCTCGCGGAAGGACTCGCCGTACATCGGCCTCTTTTGATCGCCAAACTTGAGTACATTCGGAAGGCGCAAGGACAGGATGCCAGCCAGGAGCAGTCCGCCCCCTCCTCTCCTCCCGGTCATCAGGGCGGATGGGCCCTCCACCACGACCAGGGCACTGTCCCAGAAGTCTTTGATGCCGTCGTGGTCGCGGTCCCCGCGGAGCAAAGCTGTGCCCTCTTGTCGCCCGTGTCCCCGGGCCTGGCCTCCCTACTCGCACCGGTTCGGAGCCGTCCTTGTCTGAGCGTGCTTGTGGCTTGGGATGGGCCTACAGGCGCCCCTTGGAGCGAGTGGACGGCCGACATGGATGGCGAAGACGGGTACGTGGGAGGTGACAGCCATGTGCGAGTGTCTGGGCCCGGTCTGGCGTTCGACCTGTGCCTCCAGGTTCACTCCCTCCTCTTCCCCCAAGACCATTCGAGACTGCCACCCCTCTTCTACCCTCCGACCGACTTCCTCTCTCTTTCCCGCATCCCATGCACTATCCCTTATTCCAAACCTTCTTCCCCCCCCTCTGCCCTTTGTACCCCTCTCAGCATCCTAGCCAGCGCCCGCCGCGATGACTTGAAGACAGCAGGGCGGCCAGGGATGGAGGGACGGAGGGAGGGAGGGAGGGAAGGTGAATTGTGGGTGTTTCATGCCACACCTGAGTACTCCGCCCGTTACATCCAGACCGAGCCCTTCCCCCAGGAAAAAGTCGTGTCCGATGTGTTGCGCTCTTTTTCGGGGAAATTCGGGAGCGGCCACGAAGGTGGCGGCACGCGACAGGGAAGGAGGAAGAAACCGGCTTACGTCGCCGTCCAGCGTTGGTTGTACTC